GCAAAAGAGGGTGAGATGTTTAGATAGCATTACCGACTTAATGGACATGAACTTGAGCAAACTCCTAGATATAGTGGAGGACAGGGAGTCCTGGTGTGCTATAGTCCATGGAGTTGAAAAGAGTCAGACATGACTTAGCGACTGAACAATAACTGTAACGTTGGCTTTCTGTGGTAGCTCAGTGGTAAAGAATCCACCTGCTGAAATCCCTTCATTCCTATACACTAAACAATGAGAAATCAAAGAGAAATTAAGGAAACAATTCCATTCATCATTGCAAAGAAAAGGAAAAAAAAAAAGAATAAAATACTTAGGAATATATCTACCTAAAGAAACAAAAGACCTATATATAGAAAACTATAAAATACTGATGAAAGAAATCAAAGAGGACACAAATAGATGGAGAAATATACTATGTTCATGGATCGAAAGAATCAATATAGTGAAAATGAGTATACTACCCGAAGCAATCTATAGACTCAATGCAATCCCTATCAAGCACCAAAGGTATTCTTCACAGAACTAGAACAAATAATTTCACAATTTGTATGGAAATACAAAAAACTTCGAACAGCCAAAGCAATCTTGAGATAGAAGAATGGAACAGGAGGAATCAACCTGCTTGACTTCAGGCTCTACTACAAAGCCACAGTCATCAAAACAGTGTGGTACTGGCACAAAGACGGATGTATAGATCAATGGACCAAAATAGAAAGCCCAGAGATAAATCCACACACCTATGGACACCTTATCTTTGACAGAGGAGGCAAGAATATACAATGGAGAAAAGACAATCTCTTTAACAAGTGGTGCTGGGAAAATTGGTCATCCACTTGTAAAAGAATGAAAATAGAACACTTTCTAACACCATAGACAAAAATAAACTCAAAATGGATTAAAGACCTAAATGTAAGGCCAGAAACTATAAAACTCCTAGAGGAAAACATAGGCAAAACACTTTCCAACATAAACCACAGCAGGATCCTGTATGACCCACCTCCCAGAATATTGGAAATAAAAGCAAAAATAAACAAATGGGACATAATTAAAATCAAAAGCTTCTGCACAACAAAGGAAACTATAAACAAGGTGAAAAGACAGCCTTCAGAATGGGAGAAAATAATAGCAAACGAAGCAATGGACAAAGGATTAATCTCAAAAACATGCAAGCAGCTCCTGCAGCTCAATTCCAGAAAAATAAATGACCCAATCAAAAAGTGGGCCAAAGAACTAGACAGACATTTCTCCAAGGAAGACATACAGATGGCTAACAAACACATGAAAAGATGCTCAACATCACTCATTATCAGAGAAATGCAAATCAAAACCACAATGAGGTACCATTTCACGCCAGTCAGAACAGCTGCTTTCCAAAAGTCTATAAGCAATAAATTCTGGAGAGGGTGTGGAGAAAAGGGAACCTTCTTACACTGTTGGTGGGAATGCAAACTAGTACAGCCACTATGGAGAACAGTGTGGAGATTTCTTAAAAACCTGGAAATAGAACTGCCATATGACCCAGCAATACCATTGCTGGGCATCCACACTGAGGAAACCAGATCTGAAAGAGACACATGCACCCCAATGTTCATCACAGCACTGTTTATAATAGCCAGGACATGGAAGCAACCTAGATGTCCATCAGCAGATGAATAGATAAGAAAGTGGTGGTACATATACACAATGGAATATTACTCAGCCATTAAAAAGAATACATTTGAATCAGTTCTAATGAGGTAGATGAAACTGGAGCCTATGATACAGAGTGAAGTAAGCCAGAAAGAAAAACACCAATACAGTATACTAACACATATATATGGAATTTAGAAAGATGGTAGTGATAACCCTGTATATGAGACAGCAAAAGAGACACAGATGTATAGAATAGTCTTTTGGACTCTGTGGGAGAGGGTGAGGACAGGATGATATGGGAGAATGGCATTGAAACATGTAAATTATCATATATGAAATGAATCACCAGTCCAGGTCTGATGCATGATACAGGGTGCTTGGGGTGGGTGCAATGGGATGACTCAGAGGGATGGGAAGGGGAGGGAAGTGGGAGGGGGGTTCAGGATGGGGAACACATGTACATCCCTGGCAGATTCAAGTCAATGTATGGCAAAACCAATACAATATTGTAAAGTAAATAAATAAATAAATAAAACTGGAGGAAAAAAAAAAACAAAAAAACGGAAGAAGAATCTGCCTGCCAGTGCCGGAGAGGCAAGTTCGATCCCTGAGTCAGGAAAATCCCCTGGAGAAGAAAATGGCAACCCACTTTAGTATTCTTACCTGGAGAATCCCATGGACACAGGAGCGTGGCAGGCTATAGTCCATGGGGTCGCAAGAGTCAGACATGACTTAGTGACTAAACCACCACCACCATTCACTTGCAAACAGTAAGTAAATTAAGCTCAACTAAAAAATAATAAATATTTCTATGAGCACACTGTTAACATAATTCACATTACTTCTATAAACTTTGATATTTCTCTTGCCTTTTAACTCTGTCACTGTCATAAATAGAGAAGCGATGTGCTTTTTGAGTAGAGGAACACTTAGCTTTTTGTATGATCAGTTCAGTTCAGTTCGGTTCAGTCGCTCAGTCGTGTCCGACTCTTTGCAACCCCATGAATCGCAGCACACCAGGCCTCCCTGTCCATCACAAACTCCCGGAGTTGACTCAAACTCATGCCCATAGAGTTGGTGATGCCATTCAGCCATCTCATTCTCTGTCATCCCCTTCTCCTCCTGCCCCCAATCCCTCCCAGCATCAGGGTCTTTTCCAATAAGTCAACTCTTTGCATGAGGTGGCCAAAGTATTGGAGTTTCAGCTTCAGCGTCAGTCCTTCCAATGAACACCCAGGACTTCTCTCCTTTAGTATGATAGAATCAAAATAATAAAGTATCAGAAGCATGAGTGTTGCTTCCCTTCTTTATTTCACAGCAATTTGCTATGATCTGGGGCTGAAGGTAATTGGTAAATGAAATGGTTGGTTATAAAAAATTACCTTGTGAAAGATGTGCACTATATAAGCTGTGTGTTTTGTTCAGATAGCTGTGAAAATAGAACTTTTCTGAAGAATCACATTGTGCTCGGTATTAAGGAAATAGCTCTGCATGCATCAGTGAAAGAAGTCATTAGTTAGAGCCCAACTGGCAGCAGCAGCATTCATTGGATTCTGGAGGAAGCTGCCATCTGTACCCTGTGAATGCTGCAGGATGCAAGATGTTGTTCTATGGGATGCAGCATGTCCTGACACTGCCTCTATGATGCTTCCTTTCTTTCTGTGTTAGTGATACAAGTGGATCTCAAACTAGTCCGGGCATTAGAATTATTTGAACTTAATTTTTAAAATACAAAATTGTAGTATATTCAGTATTTTGAATGGCCTATAATGAAACAGAATTTGAAAAGATAATATATGTCATATATATATATAATTGAATCAATTTGCAGTACTCTTGAGACTAGTTATTGTAGTTTTACAATACAGTATTATAAATCAACCATACTTCAAAATATAATCATAGTATTCATCATGCATTCATGCATGCTAAGTCAGTTTAGACATGTCCAACTCTTTGCAGCCCTGTGGACTAGGGAATCAGAATTCTCTTGGGAAGAATTCTATATGTAACTCTGTAGCAGTCAGCTGGTTATTGGTTTAAAGGTAGGCTTTGATGATTGATATATTACTCAAGAATCAAAAGTTGAACAAGAAGAGTTCCAAATATGAATCCTCTGTATAGTAGCCATCAGGATTGGAAATTAATTGTGATTTCTTGACCTCAGTTTCCTTATTTATAAGTAGAGCTAATAAACCTGCTGAAGATGCTGATATGAGGATTAATTGTAATCTGTGTACCAGCTACTTGGGCCTTTGCCTGGCATTGTAATTCACTCATTAGTGGAAGCTGTAGCAATCGCCATCATATTTATGTATTAAATTCAGGAACATTTTATGCTGTATGTGGCAGAATAAAAGCATAATTGTGGGATGGTAATACATTTTCATCAGGCACAGTATAATATCACATATAGACTTCTTTTGTTATTACATGCATCTCCATTCCCAGCTCTCAAAAGTCTGTGGCCCTGTGTTCACTGTGTATTTTGGCATGAAGCCCATGGTGGTCTTGCATGGATATGAAGCCTTGAAGGAAACTCTGATTGATTTGGGAGAGGAGTTTTCTGGAAGATACAGTTTCACTGTGAATAAGAAACTAGAAAAGGACATGGTACGTGTGCATGTGCACATGTTCTGCTTTGGCAATAAGGGTGAAACTGTGTTCTGCATTGGCAATAGGGGTGAAGCTGAAAGTCGTTCAGTTGTGTCCAACTTTTTGTGACCCCATGGACTACAGAGTTCATGGAATTCTTCAGGCCAGAGTACTGGAGTTGGTAGCCTTTCCCTTCTCCAGGGGATCTTCCCAACCCAGGGATCAAACCCAGGTCTTCTGCATTGCAGGTGGATTTTTTACCAGCTGAGCCCCAAAGAAGTCCAAAAATTCTGGAGTGGGTAGTCTATCACTTCTCCAGCAGATCTTCCCAACCCTGGAATTGAACCGTGGTCTCCCTCATTGCAGGTGGATTCTTTACCAACTGAGCTATCAGAGAAGCCCCAGGCAAGAGGGGTTGGGAGGATGTTTGAGGAGCATTCCATCAGAGCTGGATCCACCAGAAAGGCTGCCAGCTGTCAGCTCATTCCTCTTTCCCTACTAGTTTCTGTTTCTTCTCCTGGTGTAGGAATCATTTTCAGCAGTGGGAAGAATTGGAAAGAGACCCAGTACTTCTCCCTCATGATCCTGCAGAATTTCAGGATGGGGAAGAGGAGCATTGAGAACCGTGTTCAAGAGGAAGCCTGATGCCTTGTGGAGGAGTTGAGAAAAACCAATGGTGGGTGATTCTATGCTCTGTAACTCTCACCTTAACACACTGTTCTCTTCTCCAGTGACACCCTTGGAAATATTTCAGGAGTGGCCACATCTTTCATATGGATCATTATTGCAGCCCTTCTTTGGAAGGGAGGGGTATGAAGAAGAGGAAGCCAAGGGAGCTTTTGTGTAGACATGCTGCCTGTCATATGTACACCCATGGTTGTGCACACAGTGTGGGTTTAAAGGTCATTTAATTATACTTTCTCTTGAACTTTGTTTTTACATCAGAAATCACAAAGAATAGTTTTAAATCATTTCCTGCAAAACTCAGAGAACAATATTTTTCATCGCATAAATATGGGTTGTTTATTTCAGAGCCTTTCAACAGGGAATACTTGTTAACTTGACAGGGTGGGAATGACCTCCTCATACCCTTATGGAGCATGAAACAAGTGTCATGTGCATTCACTTAATTGAACTATATTTATATATTCAGCCTCACAGAAATGGCTGAGAGTGTGTGCAGGGCCCAAAGCTACACTTCTGGCCAATAGAATTGTTCTGGCCACACTTGCTAGAAGATATCAGCATTTCTTATTGAAAGGTTGCTACTGCAAATCGTGTGTTAGGCCAGGATTCTTGACCTCCAGAGGAAAATTTTAACCCGGGGTCAGATGAGGCTTGAGTACTTGGAGTTTTTGCATAGCAGAGTTTTAGAGATAGGGAAAGTATAATAGAGACAGGGAAAGCTTCTGACATAGACATCAGAAGGGGACAGAAAGAGTACCCCCTTGCAAGTTTTAGCAAGGTGTTTAATGTGGGAGGAAAAGGGGATGACAGAGGATAAGATGGTTGGATGGCATCACTGACTCAATGCACATGAGTTTGAGTAAACTCCAAGAGTTGGTGATGGACAGGGAGGCCTGGCGTGCTGCAGTCCATGGGGTTGCAAAGAGTCAGACACAACTGAGTGACTGAACTGACTTTATGCCTGTTAGAAAGCTATTAATCAGATAAGAGAGATACCTCAAGGCTGAGGGAATTTCACCAGGCCCCTCTTCCACAGTATGCATTTTTGAGATAGTATGGCATGAAGTGTGTCATCCCCTGGCCATAAAACAATTGACAGGAATACTGGCTTGTTGAGCCATTATCAGCCCAAGGTTTGAGAAAAGAAAAAAGTTAGTCTTGTGCAGAACTATTTTCAAGAAAGGCAGATTCCAAAACAAATACAAAGTTTCTCTAACATAGCTTAAGAAAATCATTTCCATAAGAAAAACACATTGGTTAGCTCAAGGCAGAACCAGGTGTGTCAACACAGAATTAAAAGAAGCCTCTTTTAATTTTGTGTCAGTCAGTTCAGTCGCTCAGTCATGTCTGACTCTTTGTGACCCCGTGGACTGTAGTACACCAGGCTTCCCTGTCCATCACCAACTCCTGGAGTTTACTCAAACTCATGTCCATTGAGTTGGTGATACCATCCAACCATCTCATCCTCTGTTGTCCCCTTCTCCTCCTGCCTTCAATCTTTCCTAGCATCAGGATCTTTTCAAATGACCCAGATCTTTGCATCAGGTGGCCAAAGTATTGGAGTTTAAGCTTCAGCATCAGTCCTTTCAGTGAATATTATGGACTGATTTCCTTTAGGATGAACTGGTTGGATCTCCTTGCAGCCCAAGGGACTCTCAAGAGTCTTCTCCAACATCACATTCTAAAAGCATAAATTCAACTCTCACATCCATACACGACTGCTGGAAAAACCATAGTCTTGACTAGACAGACCTTAGTTGGCTAAATAATGTCTGCTTTTTAATATGCTCTCTAGGTTGGTCATAACTTTCCTTCCAAGGGGCAAACGTCTTTTAATTTCATGGCTGCAATCACCATCTGCAGTAATTTTGGAGCCCCCCCAAAATAAAATCTGTCACTGTTTCCACTGTTTCCCCATCTATTTGCCATGAAGTGATGGGACTGGATGCCATGATCTTAGTTTTCTGAATGTTGTGTAGAGAAGGAAAAAAACGTTTGCCACTTGCAGTTTACTTCTTCCTGCCGCATGGGGTCCTTTGGTCTTCCTACCTGTTGTGAAAGTCGCTCAGTTGTGTCCAGCTCTTTGCAACCCCATGGACTATGCAGTCCATGAAATTCTCTAGGCCACAATACTGAAGTGGGTAACCTTTCCCTTATCCAGGGGATCTTCCCAACCCAGGGATCGTGCCGGGGTCCAGCCCCAGCAGGATCCAGGGGAGCCCTCAGGATGAACGGCGTCGGCGAATGAGAGAGAGAGAGAGAGAGAGAGAGAGAGAGAGGGAGAGACCAGACCAGGATATGCGGCAGAGTCTGGCAGTTGCTTTATTTTTCACCATCGCCTTTATACCCTAAGTTGGTACATTTCTAAGGGGCAGATAAGCATACAGACTTAGTTTAACATTATGTTAGCTTGTCCTTCATGAAACCAGGTGTTCTCTGTATATTTTTGTTTATGAGAGTCTTTTCCCATAGATTTTTTTTGTACATTATCTTCTGGCCTTGAGGTTAGCAGAAAACAGAAAATTGGCAGTGTCATGGTACAGCAAGTTGTAACATAATAGAGATACAATCTTGTTAACATAAAAGTCAGTCTTTTTGCAGAAATTCTCAGCTAAATTTATCTAAAAAGTTTAACACACAAAGACTCTGTGGCTTTGGTGAGGCAGCCCCTGTTTAGCACTCTTGGTTAAAATTAACAATTATCTTATTGTTTTTACACTAGGGCTAAACTCTTATTTTACTATATCTTTAACATATTAAAGATGTTAACTTTATAGTTATAGTTAACTATAGTAAACATAATATAATAGTAAACATGTAATATAGTAAAAATTATATAGTAAAAATAATATAGTAAACATGTTAACTATATTAACAATAGTTTCCACTGCACAACCTCAGCACATTAACATCAATCAAACGTTGATCTAATAACTACTTTTAAAACAATATTTTTTGTGTTTTCTAATAGGGCTTCCTCACCCCCAAAGGGCTCTGTGCCTATTAGGGCCTTTTTTATGGTTAATCTCTATGTATAATATCTTTTGGCTTTCAGGCCTGTTGACAATTTATGGCTTGCACCTGATGCAACTTTAAGCAACTTCAGTAGCTGACCCTGTCTTTTTTGTGGTTAATCTATTTTCTTTCTATTAGGTGTCATCTCCAAGGGAACTAGATAGGATTACATTTTCACAGAACAGAAACGCAAAGGATTGCAAAAACATCAGATATGGCACAAAACAGGCTCTTAGTCCAAAAGTTAATTACCTGCAAGAAGTCACCAGCTAATCTCTTATCTAAACTATTTTCTATTAGGTGTATATGTGGCTATAATATTTGTGGTGCTTTTCTCACCCCGCGGAGGGACCTATGCTTAATAGTTTCTTTTGTTAGCATACTGTGCTTAGGATGTTTAGAACAATCATGAGCGTTTTTTGCAATGAGAGTACATATTTATCAAACAAGCCAGAATGCCAGCAAAAGGGTTTAAATTGAAGCATTTCCTTCATCCCTGGCCCCTTCATAGGGTACCAGCATCCATGAGATTTATTAATTAGGGTTTTAAGTTGGTCCTCATTCAGTGAAAGAGGAGCAGGAGAGCTCTCGGCAGGCAACACAAGAATCCGCAGCAGGGCAAACAAGAACAACAGCAGAAAAGGGGGGAGGATACAGGGTGGGGTAGAGGCCGAGGCCAACCTGGAGGGTCCCTTATCCTAGACGGCCTTGCCTGTCAGGTTTTTTCCTCGTGACCTTGTCATGGATGGGGTCCCGGACGGCCTTGCCTGTCCGGTATTTTCTTCATGACCTTGTCACAGGCGGGACCTCCCATAACGGCTCCCAGCAGGATCGAACCCAGGTCTCCCACATTGCAGGTGGATTCTTTACCAGCTGAGCCACAAGGGAAGCCCAAGAATACTGGAGTGGGTAGCCTATCCCTTCTCCAGAGGATCTTCCCAGCCCAGGAATCGAACCAGGGTCTCCTGCATTGCAGGCAGATTCTTTACCAACTGAGCTATGAGGAAAATTACCCTCTCATTATTTCCTGTTTTCAATACTCATTGTATTGATTTATATGTTTTGAATAAATATTTGCTATGTTATAATTCTCCAAAAATACCAAGTTATAAAATGTTTTATTTAACTAGATTTCAACATTATCAACACCTGCTCTTCTGTCTTCTCTAAATCCAAATCGATTCTCTTTTCAGTTGCAAACTTTGCCCCATCTTTACTGTATTTTGGTAACAAATATATGGTAATTATTTACTTCCCACAACCAGATGTAATAATCTGTAAAGTGTTTGTCACAATGAGTCTAATTTTAAGCTTATATTACAAATTCCACTATTTTAAAATTCTTTATTTTGTATTAAGTGAAACAAAAGACACCAAATCAGATTTTACCTCTGACTCACGTATAGCTAAAGAAATACCCACGGCTTTTCCAAATTACCTCTGCCAGTCTAGCTAAAATAAATGTTGCTTTATTTATTATTGTTTTATTTATGTAGATGCCCTGGGACATCTAAAGGAGCCTGGCATAGAATCTACAAGCTACATATTTCTTTTATCTATGTCCTACTGTTTCTTCCCAACACCTTTCAAAAATTTAAAAACACCTGAGATCTGCCATCTTAACAAATTATTAAGTGAATACTACAGTGCTGAGTATTGTTAACTATAATGATGCTGTTATACAGCTGGTCTCTAGGACTTTTCATCTTTTCATGCAATAAGAAAAGAAAAAGAAATAATAATTATATAGATTTGGAAGGAAGAAATAAAACTATCTTTGTTTGGCAATAATGTGATTATGTAAGTAGAAAATCTCGAAGAATCAAAAAACATCTAAGAAGCAATTTTAGCGTGGTTTCAGTATTTGGTGGAGAACAGGCAATAATCAGTCACTTTCTTATATACTAGCAATGAACATGGACTTGGGCAGACTCTGGGAGATGGTGAGGGACAGGGAGCCCTGGTGTGCTGCAGTCCATGGAGTCACAAAGAGTCGGACATGACTGAGCAACTGAACAGCAACAGCAATCACATTTCAGGCATACAAAAATGGGAGTCAGGAGCCCATTGAGAATCTGGCCAAAGACCTGTCTCTGCACCACGTAGAACCTGACATTTCTTTGACCTATACCAGACCCAGGCAGAGGATCAGCCCTATTCAGAGCAACACCTACCAGTTGCACTCAGTCTCAAGGTCTCCCTTTTCAACTCTGCAACCATTTGGGACCCCAGTTGATCCATACTTAATGGGAACCCTTACTTGCCAGGTCCAATTATACTTCTTAACGAACAACTTATGGACTTTTTTTTGCCCTTATAAGCCTCCCTCATTTTGTAGTCTGGTGGAAGCACCATTCAACTGCTTCTTGAATCTATGTCTCTCATGCTGCAGTTCTAAGAAATCCCTCAGAAACATGTTTTATTTCAGTCAGGTCTTTTCTCAAATTTTGATTAACACTGTGTATACTTCATTCCATTATATCTGATTAAGACAGACTTCAAAAGGCAACAGAAGGGTAGTGTCTCATGGCAACTGGGAGGTTTGAGCCATAATTTCTCAAGCCTTCCACCAAAATTCTTGAGATAGGCTCTTCCCTCAGTTACCTGAGAAAGTTTTACTTGTTTGGTGATGGAGAGAGGAGAATCCCTAGTTTTGGTTTATTCCCTTGAGAATCTGTGACCTTTTTTTCCTTGGAGTCCAGGGACATCTATTTATTGTGAAGCCTGTTACTTTGTGAACAGTCAGTTGGGTGCATATGCAGAGTAACATTTTAGGGGTTTGGTTTTGTTTTTCTGAAGTTATTCTTGAGGCAGCTGTGGTATATATGAGAGAACATCACAGTGGGCATCAGAAGATCTCAGTTTGAATCCTAATCTTATTAATTATGAGCTATATGACATTGGACATTTCTGTTCACCCAGAATCTTCCTTTCTCTCATTTGAGAGATACAAAATTACAATCTCTACCTTCCAATGTTTATTTTGGTGGGGGTAGACATGGGATTTCAAGGTAAAAGTCATGCACATTTAATTATGTACTTACATCTTTGGTCATTCAAGATGTTTGAATTATGTTAGTGTTAACCAAGAATTCCAAGAATGTAGATCTGGTTGAAATCAAGAGGTGTTTGTTTGTGGTTTGTTAGGACTCCTGCCCAGGAGACACAGATCCAAGAAGCACTTAAATTGTGTTCTTCCAGACTACAAAACGGGGAACTTTATAAAGGCAAAAAACCACAGGGACAGATAAATGTTTTGACAGGAATTAGAACTGTAGATGACAAGATGTAAGAATGCTTGTAAGCAAGAATTGGATGGGTTCAAAATAGTTATATTGTGAAGGGGGTGGGGAACTTTGAAAATACAAAACTGCAGCAAGCACCTGCTAGCAGATATTGTTTTGAAATGGTTGGTGAAGTCCTTGGTTTGCCACAGTTGGGAATTCAAGTTCTCAGTAATGCAGGAACATGTCTGAACACACCCATGATGACTGTGCAGTTTCATTTTGGAGGCCTGAACCGGAGTTACTATATTTTGATTTTAAAATACAATGATCTTTAAAATACAGATGATCTTAAATAGATCACCATTAACTATTTTATACATAGGCAAATGTAATATGAGTACAGTACATTGAAATATTTTAAAATCTTTCATTTTCAGGGACAGAGTATCCTAGTGTTGGATATAGTATTACAAGATAAGCATTCAAAAGCAAAAAAGACATATTGGTTGTTCTCAGAGTCAAATATTTCCACTGGTCACTGATTTGAATTCAGAGTTATGAGCCCTTTTTGGCATCAAATTATTTATTTCTATATTACTCAATCCCAGCTGCACAGTGGGACTTCTTCCACCCACTAGACCCAATCCCAGCACAGCTAAACCAGCCTAACCACAATTTCCAGAGTGATCATTGGACAGAGAGAAAACAAAGCTAAAGCACAGTTTATTTTTTATTTATTTTTTTCCATTTATTTTTATTAGTTGGAGTCTAATTACTTTACAATATTGTAGTGGTTTTTGTCATACATTGACATGAATCAGCCATGGATTTACATGTATTCCCCATCCCGATCCCCCCTCACACCTCCCTCTCCACCCGATTATTTTTATCATTGGGGCAGTCTGCTCAGAATAGAGAGCAAAGTGGATATAACTGCATGGTCTGTTTATATCAGAGAGGCACAGGTTGAATTAGCAGGGACTGTTAGAAAAGCTTTAGGTTTCAGCTCACAGTCTTCTGAGTAAGAAAAGAAGGCGTCAGTGGATCTGGCTGTGGCCCTGGTGCTGTCTCTCCTGTTTGCTTCTCCTCTCACTCTGGAAACAGAGCTCTGGGAAAGGAAGCTCCCCCCAGGGCCCACTCCTCTCCCAATTTTTGGAAATGTCCTACAATTAGATGTTAAGAACATCGGCAAATCCTTAAACAGTGTAAGTCGGTTTTCTGCTTCTCCAGTCAGTGTCTTGTACACAGTAAGTTAAGCCCGATTATAAAACTAATGGGGTTTCCCTGGTGGCTCAGTGACAAAGAATCTGCCTGCCAAGTAGGAGATCCAGATTTGATCCCTGGGTTGGGAAGATCCCCTGGAGAAAGAAACAACAACCTACTCTAGTATTCTTGCTGGGAAATCCTACATTTCCCTAGGGCACACTGTCAGAATAGGTCAGTGTGTAGCAAATTACTTCCTATGATTTTGACACTTTTCTTGCCTTTCAGCTATGTCATTGTTGTAAGCAGAGGAAAATAATAATGTGTTTTGTGTGTGTTTAGCTCTTTGTATGGTAGAATCAAAGTAATAAAATATTAAACGTTGGGAGTGTTGCTTCCCTTCTTTGTTACACAGGCATTTGCTGTGATTTGGGGCTGAAGATAAATGAAGTGAAATGTTTTATGATTTGAGATTTTCTTCCAGAAGTCATATTCTATATAAGCCAGGTGTTTTTTCAGATGATCAGGAAAACAGAACTTTTCTGAAAAAGGCTGTTGTGCCTGATATAAGGAGTTGTCTTGGGATTAGGACGAACATGAGTGATTGAAAGAAAGAAGTCATCAGTCAATAATTTGCAAGCAGGTGCCATCTGTACCCTGTGAATGCTGCAAGATGAAAGATGTTGTTCTTTCACGAGATGCTATATGTCCAGGCACTGCCTCTATGATGTTGTTTCTCTATATTAGTAATACCAGTGGATCTCAAACTGGGCTGGGAATTATCTGAAATTATTTTTTAAAATTACAGATTTCTAGTATTCATCACAGGGCCACAGAATCATAATTCTAATAACTGCTGTCATTAGCTGATTCTGAAGCAGTCAGCTGGGTGTTGGTCCAAAGGTGGGCCTTAATTATTGCTATGTTTCTCCTCAAGGATCAGAATGTGAATAAGAAGAGTTTCAGATTTGAATCCTGTACACATAGCAGCCCTGGGACACTGGACATGAAGTGGAATTCCCTGACCTCAGTTTCCTTGTTTATAAGTGGGGCAAATAAACCTGTTGAAAGTGCTGATATGAGGATTAATCATAATCCGTGTACCAGTTACTTGGGCTGTGGCCCAGCATCTCAGGTCATCCATAAGTGGGAAGTGTAACAATCTGTATCATACTTATGTATTAAATTCAGAAATATTTTAAGCTATGTGGCAGAATAAAAACATAATAGTAGGATGATAATATATTCTACATCAGGCACAATGTGTTATCAAATATTGAGCTCTTTGCTATTACATGCATCTCCATTCCCAGCTCTCAGAGGTCTACAGCCCTGTGTTCACTGTGTACTTTGGCATGAAGCCCATGGTGGTCTTACATGGATATGAAGCAGTGAAGGAAGCTCTGATTGATGTGGGAGAGGAATTTTCTGGAAGAGGCAGTTTCCCAGTGCTTGAAAGAGCTACTAAGGTTGATGGTAGGTATGTATTTGCACATGTTCAACATTGGTAATGGGTAGGGGTGGTCCATCTATGAGCCTCCCAAGTGTCGGCTCACTCCTCCTTCCCTAGGACCTCCCTCCCAGTTTCTGCTTCCCCTCCTGGTAGGAATCATGTTCAGCATTGGAAAGAGATAAAAGGAGACCTGGCGCTTCACCCTCACAACCCTGCAGAATTTCGGGATGGGGAAGAGGAGCGTTGAGGACCGTGTTCAAGAGGAAGCCCACTGCCTGGTGGAGGGGTTGAGAAAAGCCAGTGGTGGGTGATTCTGTGCTCTATAGCCCTGACCTTGGCAGTCTTCTCTCTCTCTCCAGTGATGCCCTTGGAAATATTTTGGGGCAGCCACATCTTTCCTATGGGTGGTGGTTGTCAGTCTTCAGATGAAGGGGGGAAGGGTGTGAAGCACAGACAGCCAGGGGAGCTTTTTATGTATCTGTGATTGTCATGTATGTCATATGATTGTCCCATGATGGTACACACAGTGTGGGTATAAATGTGTTTTAATAATACTCTATCCTGAGGTTTGTGTTCAATTCAGAAATCACAAAGGATAGTTTTGAGTTATTTCCTAAAAGAGTTAGAGAACAATGTCTTTTCTATAGCAATTGGACAGGGTGGGAATGACCGTCATGGGTCATGAAACAGTGACATTTGTTTTCACTTATTTGAACAGTTTTTATATGTACAGCCTCACAGACATGTCTGAGAGTCACTTCAGGGCCCAGGCCTACAGTTCTGGTGACTAGTAATGACATCTAAGGGTTTTAATCATTTAGGTATATCTTATTGCAGTTCTCAATTATGACTTCTCTGTAAATGCAGCACTTTAAAAAATAACTTTATTGTATGTTTGCCTTTGGCTGTGAGCTTTTTCCATTGTAATTTTCCTGTTTCTAGTTGTGGCCTTTCCCTTTTCCTTAGAAAAGTCTCTACTATTTCTTGTAAAGCTGGTTTGGTGGTACTGAAATCGTTTAGCTTTTGCTTATCTGTGAAACTTTTGAGTCTTTATAAATCTGGTAGAGTATTCTTGGATGTGGGTTCTTTCTTTTCATCACATTAAAAAAATTTGAGTGTATCATGCCACATTCTTCTAGCCTGCAGAATTTCTGTTGAAAAGTCAGCTGATAGTGTAATGAGATTTGTGTAAGGTACAAGTACTAATACCAATCTTTGGAGAAGACAGACTTGATGATTTTATGAAGAGATTATTGGACTTGTTTCAGTAATCACAAATTTGATACAAGAGTTAGTGCTTCAAGTCCACTTTTTTTTTTTTTTAACCAAAGGACATGCTGAGAGAAGACTTTTCTTTTGTAATGTTGGAGTCTAAGGTAGTCATTAATCAAACTTGTTTCTCCTCTTATTTCTAAGTACATGAGAAACAATGTACTAGAAATGAAAATGGAATGGCCCATCTCACACATCCACTATATTTGGAAATAACCATTATATCGTCAAATGTCTACTCCCAAGTATATACTGGGGATGACCATTCCCTTCTGCATGACCATCCCAGTGTAGAAACATAAATATTGGGCTTTGTTGTTCGGTTGCTAAGACATGTCTGACTCTGCAGTCCCATGGACTATAGCATGCCAAGCTCCTATGTCTTCCACTGTCTTCCAGTTTCCTTGAATTCATGTCCATTAAGTTGGTGTTGCTATCTAACCATCTCATCCTCTGCCACCCATTCTCTTTTGCCTTCAGTCTTTTCCATCATCAGAGTCTTTTCCAACGAGAATATTGGGAGGCTGATTCTGTTATATCTTTTTACCAGTTAGATGAGTGATTAGTTTTATCCAAGGCTGGAGCTACTGAAATAACTGGAGAGAATGGTCTAAGACAGGAGTTGGTAAACTTTTTCTGTATTATTCCAGAGTGTAAGTATTTCAGAATTTGAAGCCTTGAAGTGTCTGATGCTTTTTGTATACTTTTGTACACTTCTTCTATTACAGCTTGGAAGCAGTCAAGGACATATTAAACAAACAAAAAGGGCTATATACAAGTCTTTATGGAGGCAGAAATTTATATTGCATAGAATTCCCATGTGTCAGAAAATATTATTATTCCTTGATTACTTTCTATTTAAAATGCTTAGTCGTTGTTTGTACAAAGGCTATATTTATACATGGGTTGATATTTGTTAGTATGTAAGACTGTCTGAAAGAATGTTTTGCAATGCTGTGAGATTGATTTGTGGGATTTTTTTTCTTTTTAGTTTGTATAAAGAACATTTTCCAGCACAGGGTCTGAAAGATTTACCCTTATCTATTTCTAAAACTTCAAAATTTAGTGCTTACATTTAGATAATGATCCATGCAGGTAATTTTTACTTATGATGCTGAGTAATATTTATGCTTCCTTAATTTCTGTATGAAATATGCAATTATTTGAGCAACATTTGATGAAAATACTGGATTTTGTATCTTTTTTGGCATCTTAAAGGAAAATTTTATGTATTTCTTACATAAATATATACAAGAGAATAATAAAGGGTTGTAGACATTTTATATGATAACCTTAGGGGATAGAAGATTCCCCCAAGTTTGCATTAATTATTTTTTAAATATAAAACATTAAAAACATGTTCATATGTATGTTATATATGAATTTGTATATTTGCCTGCTTTTGCAGTGTTGAGAAATAATCAATAAATTATCTGTAAGAGGAATAGAAAAGAGCTTTATTTGAGCCAAACTGAGGACTGTAGCCCAGAAGACAACCTCTCAGATAACTGAGGAACTGCTCTGGAGAGGTATGGTTTATCTACATAGTTGTAAACCTTGTTAGAACAAAGAATATCACGAAGCCAGAGATACATTCTTATAAGGTTTCAAAAAAACATTATCAACAGAAGCACAGCGAGTTGGTATGGCCTTGGCACCTAAGAGAGGAGTCTTCTCATTGCAAGAGTTTCAACACTGGCATCCCAGAAAGGAGGCACTTAATCTTTATTTTTAACATGGACATTCTTTATTTCTGTTCAATTCACATTTTATTTAACAATTAATTAATGTGTATGTGTGATAGGCCACAAACAGGCAGTTTTATTTAACATAAAATTCAAGTTAAATCATGTATAAGCTAAAATGACTTCCCCATACCTTAATGTGTAAAAATTTTCCACAAATATTCATTTATCAATCTACCCATCTATTCATTCACACTTCCCTACTTCAGTATGTATAGCTCAAAACAGTGATTTTTGTATACAGAGGAATAATAGCAGTTGTACTTGAGTTATCCTTGATAGAATACTATTATCCAATGAACAGCCTATATTGAAAATTTCCCAGTTTTCATGGAATAAGCTTTATACTTTTTTTTTTTTCAAATCAATGTCCAGCCTGGAAATAAGCCTATAATTTGGTTATATTTTCCCTGTTCTCCATTTCTCTCCCATTATCAGTTCTCTTTTGTCCTGTTTGTTTTCTTTCAGTACCTTTAACTTTGTAGAGTTCAGTATGGTAATCCCGTAAGATATTCCTCACGCTGGTTTTGTGTGGTTGTTTTCTGGACACACATTCCAGTTACAACTTTAAGTATATGGGTGCTTTGTGTTTCCCACTGAAATTCACTGGGGAGGTGCAGGCACGTATGTCAGTTATCCCATTATTGGTTATGCAGTGTTTTCACATGACAAAGTAGTATCTGCCAGATTACTCCATGACACAGGTCCTTTTTTGCACATTTAATTAATAAAAAATTGCATGGTACTGTATGGGTTTGTATCTTGCTTCTCAGTTGTTTAACCAATAGTTTTAGCATTAATAGATAAAACTTGCTTAAATTAATGATCCTATATTGAATTGTTGTGAAGTGATTATTCTAATTTTACCATCCTTCCTGTGTTTCAAATCTTGGATTAATCTGTAATGAAGTCTAACACAGTATTTTTAAATAAAGACAAACAGTCTGCTTGGCAATGGTAAACAATAATATTTGTTATTGTATTTACTTTATTATCATTGGCTAGATTATTTTATATTAGATCAAATGTCTGTTTACAAAAGCCATGCAAATAGATAATTTGAGACATTTAAAACATAGTAGAGACATAATCCACATATGAAATGAGTGAAAATTGAAATGATAAAACAAATAAGCTAGTGGGGTCAGACACCAGTGTTCAAATGTGGTGATAAGCAGACGGATTCATAAGTTCTAGGACCCATGTACTGCATATTTCAGATGGCTTTGAAGTCCACTTTAGCAGCATCACTGCCATTAGTCTTAAACTTATCCTTGTTTATTACTTGTTCTGTCTGATTGAAAATGCCACTGCCCTTCTTTCAATCCAAGATTAATCCTAAGATTGGACTAAATGATTTTCAGCAGTTCTTCTAGCTCTGTGACTTCTTCATAGGTTAGTTTATCTTCATCTGTTCTTTCCAGGGCACAGATACATTAACATCACTGACTTCTGTGTTGCCTGATGACAAAGAATTCCCCAGCCCAGAGGTATTTGACCCTGACCACTTCCTGGATGAGAATGGCAACTTTAGGAAGAGCAACAATTTCATGGCTTTCTCAGCAGGTAACACAAATTTATTTTCTTCATTACTTTAGGGATTCCTTGGTGGCTCAGAGGATAAAGTGTCTACCTGCAATTCGGGAGACCAGGTTTGATCCCTGGGTCAGAAGATCCCCTGGAGAAGAAAATGGCAACCCACTGCAGTATTCTTGCCTAAAAAATTCCAAAAATTCCTGGTGGGCTACAGTCCATGGGGTCACCAAGAGTCAGACATGACTGAGCAACTTCACTTCACTTCCCTTCAGAGGACAAGGCGCCTTTGAGCATCCTTTGGAACTTCCATAGTACCCACTCTGGGCCTGGTTGAAATGCTCTTTGTCCATGATGAGGGACAGCAATCCCAGTGCCCCTACACCTTCCCTTTCCATGATACATCCTCATCATTGGGCTAGATTACTGGAGCTTTGGAGCAGTGACCCAGTTCTTTCAAATCAGAAATAAGTTTAAACTACATTCTGAAAATATAAGAGAAGTGCATCTTAGACTAAAGAAACTCTGTGTTATAAAACTAAATCTTCAAGGTTAACATAGATTCAATATACTTACAGCAGAGAACAGAGGCTTTGAAGAAAGAAAAGAAAGATATTGGACCATCACACTAG